AGCAGGGGATTGGACTAGATGACCTCTTGAGATCCCTTCCAACTCTGATATTCTGTGATTCTGTGAATACCATTGCTAGAATTACTACCCAGAAAAGTAGTTCTGTGCTTAGGAAAAAAATCAGTCTACTGCTGTCTCATGATTCTTAGAAGTAATTTCCATCTGGAAATTGGCAGAGCCAGTCTTGAGTGGGATTCATGAAGCCCAAGGCCATGGCTTGCCTGCCACTGTCCCTGATAATGGGATGCAATGAGTGTAAAAGTTAATGCCAAATTTCATTCAAAAAAAAATAGCCCTTTTTGTTGCTTAGAAAGCCTTAAAATGTAATTTGATAATTTATTACTATGATAATTCACATATTATCTACAGCCCCAAAGGCTGTTTGTGGCCTGAGAACCCGATTTTTGGACAGACCAGTTTGCAGCTGAGGGGGAGTCAGGGCCTCCTGAGCTGCCACTGATTGTGTTATAGCTGACACAAGTCCCCTCCATCTGCCAACCAGCTGAGAAACCAAGATAGCAACTGGTTGTCCTGGGGCGAGCAACTCAATAGTTCATTGTGCACCATGCCAAGCAGGAGTTAGGAAGCAAATTGCTCCTGTGTTCTAATCCTTCACATACAAACTCCTTCTGATGCCTAAGACTTTGTTGCCACCTGAAAATGAGGGAAACCGTTCTCTCTTACCCACCTCACAAGAGGCATTTTGACTGATCATTAACTGATGTTTGTACAATGCTATATAAGTTCTAAATATTAGACACTGATTGATAGGGAAGGGAATCTTGCTGAGACAATGGAACACAGACAGGAACAAGAGAGAGAAAAACCTTAATTTAGAAAAGGACTTAAGCACATGCTTAAGACCATCCATATTCAAGAGAAAACGTAAGTAGGTGTTTAATTGCAAATATGTGCTTAAATGTAATTGATTTTATGGGGGCTTAAAATGTGCTCTTAATTGCTACCTTAAATAGGAATGATCTCCTGAACTGTAATCAGAGAGGGGAGATCTGTCAGAAGCAAAGAGAGAAAATATAATCCAGGAGAGAGCAATGGGATGGATGTTGGATTGGGTGAGGATGAAAGAGAATATGAGTGACAAAGGAGATGCGGCTTGTCAAAGAAAGAAGAAGAGAAAATGAGATTTAAAAAAATACACAGAACTAAGACAAAAGGAAGAAAATGTTAGGAAGATGGATAGAGAACACCAGAAGGAGGAAGGAAGGAAAAGGGAATAAGGAAATTGGAGAAGGGAATAGGTAAGAAAAGGCATAACGTTTAGACTAGTGAATGTTACTTATTTATGCTCCTTTTATTTTATTGTACTCCCCTGAAGATGTCTGGTTCTATATGTTTGGGACACCAGGACAGAGATTGAAAGCTCGTCTATGGAGAGATGTTTCAGATTTTTCTTCCTTGTTCACACTAGTATGAGCTGACCTCAGTGGAAAGCTTTGGGCTCCTACAGGAAGAGTTTGGAGGTCTGGAAAGATTTGTAGGATATAAACAATCATCTTGAAGACCTTCCCTGAAATCCAAAAGATGATACTGTGTATAGTGGATTGGGGAGGGGCAAGGGCAAAAACCACACTTTGCAGGCACACTCCAAAATCCTTACACTGCTCTCTGGAAGTTGGAATTTTTTTCTCTAATACCACTCTACAGCAGTTTGATGTGAGGTGTATATGAGTATTTATGAAGGTAGCTTTTGGGTCCAGGTGAATATTTAGATGTTTCTCTCTCTCTAATTCTGCCCAGATACATGCATATATATGTGTATACACACACACACACACACACACACTAGCAAAACTGCTTCCCCCTCCCCACAAAAATAAAGTGTTTAGATTGTAAGAAAATAATCCACTTTTGCTCAAAAAATGTTGAATAATGAAAGTAGCAATTTTAAGGGTACCAATTAAAGATAAAAGTGGAATTTTCCTCAGATTCAAAGTTAAATCACATGAAAACGATGTTCAAAAGGATAAGTTAGCCAGTTACTTTCACAGCTGTCTCAGCACCCTAACGGGCAGTTCTGAAGCTGTCAAAAGCCTGCAAAGAAGCCAGATGCTGTGACATGTGTTCTGAAAGTTGCAAAGTTTCCTCACTGCTCCTCACTTAAACATAGCTCTTTCAACATCAAGGCTTCCATGCTGAGAAAAGGTGAGATAAATCAGTTCTTAAAAGGGATATTATAAACATTAGATTGTGTCTAGCTGTTTTATTTGGTCTGGTGATAGTTTCTCACTCTTTTTGAACAATGTGCCAAAGACCAAGTTGTTCTTGCTTGGCCAGTTCCCTTTACCATCCAAAGTGAACATCACAAATAGATAGGAGGAATCCGCCAAAAAACAACTTTAAAGTTGATTAACGAAGAGAATATTGTACATTGACTATAATTTACTCACTACAACAAGGCAATCAATTTTCAAGGTTGAGCAAGCAAGATCTTAGATAGGACTTTTCCTGATGTATAACCAAAAATCATACTTCCCCAGTTTAGGTTCAGTGACTCGCCTCGAAAAGAAGAACTTTTCTGGAACACAGAGACATGACTCAAAGAAAAATGACATTCCGGATCAGGTTCCTGTTCTGCGTGGACCTTTAGAAAGTGGACTTTTAGGAGTGATAAAATATGTGTAGAAAGAAAGATTATTTTGCCTGAAGCAATCTGCTCCAAAAGACAAAAAATAGTGCCATATTCTGTGTTGACACACAATCTGTGCAAATCCACTGAGGCAATAAGATTGAACTAAATGTAACCCAGGGCAGAATTTGGCCCAAAGATTTCATGTAGGATAGCCTTAAAATTAGTAAACACACAGCACTTTGCTGCAT